ATTACTATGAGAAACGCTGCCAAAGATCCATTACTTCCTTGGAAACCGGCATGTAGTTCTTGAAGCAGGTAAAACAAAACTTGAACCATGGAAACTGAACCCGTAAGGTTCAACACACTAATACTAAAGAGTACGTAAACCAGAACTGTCTCTGTACACTTACGATCACATCCTATGAGTTACGTAAGACACTCTTCTGAACTGCTGGTACAATTTAACTTTACTCCACGAGAAGTTTATTTTTAAAAATTTGTATTATATAATCTTCCTGCACAGTAAGAATTCACACCTGTAAAATACAGTTGGCAAAATGTCTTTATTGTCGCAATCTTCGAAATTTTTTTAAAGGTATACGAGTTGAAAAGAATTCTTAACTGACTGGCATTAAGTATTTCAAGAATTTATTCTTCTTCTATTATCATTACAAACCACGTCTCTGTTTGTATGACTTGAGATTCGGCGGTGAGGATAGCGGTGTTGTTCTTCAGGATTTTGATGCCGCGTAGATTTGCTGATAGATAGTAACGTTTTGGAGTAACATACTGCCTCCATCTTCAGGCCTGAGGATGGAGGCAGTATGTTCTTACGAAACATCGCTACCCACCTAGAAATTCGCCATGGTCGTATTCACTACCGTAAATGCCTGCAATATAATTTCTTAAATAGCATTAACAAATTAATTTTTGTAATGGAGAAGAGTTTTGTTTTATTTCAGACATTCTTAAATATTACTTAGATGAACTTCTGTTTCAAACGGAAAAGTACGTCTTTCGATTAATAAACATACAATGTTTGAGCATCTGTAACTTTGGTATTTTCCATTATTATGATAGTTTATTGATGTAATTGCGGATATATTTGAATTTAATTTGTTGAGTAATACAGAATTTTCCCCTTAATAATATTTGTGTGTTTGTTATATTTTATGTTACACACACTGTGTACAAAACTAATTAGGTTTCTCTGAGTTTTGGACTTTTCACTAAAAAGTAATACATTTAATGAGCTCAATGAACAGAGCTTTTCAGGGATCATACTCAACTGCAGGCTTGGATCTTAAACAAAGTTAATATACCAGTAATTAAACTAGATATAGATGGAACTTGTCCCTACCTGGTGTAAGAACCCTGTTTCCCAACCCCTAGCCAGTCACGTTACTCAAAACAGAAACTTATTTTAACATTTGTCTTAATTAAATATTTGTATTGAAGTGATCAAGAGCTTTTATATTCATGATAATAGTCTCATTACAACAAAAGTTTATTTCTAATTTTTTCTCTGTTATGTTTTCTGTATTTTCTCTATGATGAAAATCCTTACCGCTCGTAAACTTGATTTACTCTTCTACTTTGATTTTCTTTTCTCCCGCATTACTTCCTCCCAACCAGCTTTTCCTTCATGTTCGTCTTTCTTAGGAAGAGATTTTCTCCGACCAGTTCTACCGTCTGCAAAACTTTAATTTCTCCGGTGGCCGTTTAAGCTTCTACCAAGCTTTCCCATCTCGCTTTCTCAATCCATTCCTCCCCCTCCCAACCCCTCGCTGGACGGCATCAGCTCACGAGTGGACATTTCATTTTGGGATACGCCTAATCATCGTCTTTTACTACCCCCAGACTTATATTCCTCCTCCATCCCCTATGGCTATTCCCATGGCTATGCCACTTTTCACTTTTATATGCCCTCAGGGACACCCCCTCCCCCCAGTCGAAGTCAGTTCCCTCTTTTTGGCTCCTGCATTGAGGGTTGTGTTTGTCCAAGATCCTCGATCTATCCCACTCAGCCTATGCACTATTTCCCCTCATTCGTGCTCGAGAATTGAACTAAAGCCCCCTTCCACCTGCGCTGCCACTCCGTCTTTCTTATACTCAGAGGTTTTCGATTCTAGACCCATACGAATGGGGGCAGTGATTTCAATATCGCGAGTACGAAGAATCGCGAGAGAACGAACGACTTGTTCCCTGGCGTCCAATGTGTTTCTTATTAAACAGCCTGAAAACGGGCGAGGAGCCTTTCAGGAATTTCTGAAGATTGGCCGATGGTGCTGCTGCAACTTCAGTTTCTTGTAGTGCAGTTGTCCGCAAGCTGTAGTAATCCGTTACATTTTAATTTACAATCTGTTTATCTTCTAATACAATTAGTTTCAGTTCCAGTAACAGTAAATCTCGCCTCTGGACAAGATCAAGGGTCAGTTCTCTTGAAATCAAACCACTTTCCTTTCTATTTCTCTTGTACTATCATCTTAGTCTCTGTTATTTAAATAATCGTGTTTCAAGGGATTTTATCAAAAAATTCTGTGAGCAATTTTTGGTTCACCGCCCGAATTTAATCTTTATCCTGTCGTAATTCTTTTTCTTTTTTTACAATGTTAGACAAGGAGTATTATAATTCATCAAGTTTATCACTGTAGATGACAATCTTCTGGCATACTGCGCCGTATAGTCTCGCAGAAGTTAACCGACGTTTCAGAGGTACTTGCTGCTCCATCATCAGGCCATAAAAGTTCTGTAAGAAAGTGGTTATGTAACCTCCGAATGAATCAATCCATTGTCAGTAATGTTTTAATGTGGGGGGGGGGGGGGCGTCTAAAGAATAGCTTTACAATATATTTCTTTTGTTTCATCGTTCATAAATCATACTTCAGTTAGAATCGACAGTTTAGGAAAATGTTTGCAGGATGTTATATTTTTAGAAAGAACATAATGTATCTGTTAGAAGAAGTGTGGGATGGTGAGATAGACTGGAGAGTTGGAAGGAAAAGCAGAATTTTTATTGTTGTAGGTCAGAAGACTAATCAGAGAAATAACCGTTCTGAAAATCCCCATGGCAATTTGTTGAATCCTCAAGAAGCAGGAATATGTCTCATAATACTGTGTTCATTATGGAAGAACTCCGAGCAGTGGCGAACTAAAGAAGAGTGTATATCAGTAACATAAAACATTAAAGGCAATATTGATCTTGGAATCAAAATATCAGTTTTTAATACTGTTTCAAACAGTATTTGGGAAAATTAATTCGTCCCCTTAAACTTTTGAAGTTTGAGGTCCTTGTAAATTTTGTTTAAAAAATCAGTTCCTAACTCAAAGATAACACAACGCGTCTCCATTACAAAGATCAGTTTGTTTACGCTTTTTTGGAAAATTATACACTTTTATTATGAAAAACACACATAACCCATAAATACACTCTTTAGGCAAAATGTAGAGTTATTGAATGTTAACACAATAGGTATATATTGTCACAGGGCTTTATCATTTTACTTCTATCCTGTCATATATCTTAGATGAAATGTCTAATGAGAATTCCAGTAATGTAAACATTTTGTTTGATGGGTTTCGCAGTGATACCTCTTGCAGTCTAAATTAATTAATGTAATTGTAAGATTATTTTGTTTAAACGTGTCGTTAGTGTTTGACTTCGTCATAAGTATTTATACGTTTTAACTTACGTTAATAAACTATGGTGTGAGGTTGAGTGGTTTAAACTGGCTCACGACAGGGTCCAGTATCGGGATTTTGTTGATTCAGTAATGAACTGTTGGACATCGTTAAAACGGGATATTTACTGACTACCTAAACGACTTTTACCTTCTTAATAAGAACTCTGTTGTGTAGAGTTAGATAAACGTAACTTCTACGGGAAAACAGCATTCTCATTATGAAGTAGAGCAATTGGTGGTCTCGATTCTTGATATTTTGGATTCGAAATGAGCTCAAAACATGCATGGATGTTGTTCGTGCCGCTTTTAACAACCTGCGCTGCATTATGGTGCTTCAAACATGATAAAAATATTCAGGAAATATTGTCATTTGTGTTTGTAGTCATATAAATGTGTCCATGTTTGTCTCATAAGGTGAAATTTAGTGACTGATACAGAGCCCAACATATACGTGAGATAAAACTCTAAATTTGTAATTGTGTTTCTCACCATGTTCACCCTCTTCCACGTATGTCGATTTTGGTCTTTTGGGTCGTTAACACAGTGTAGTCTTGTAGGAATTCTCCAGCGTTTCGAAGTAAATTATCGGCTCTATCTTCAGGGCTGATGATGCAAGCTTTACCTTCTTCCTAACGTTGGTAAGCACGTACAAGACTACACTGTATCACATCCGAGAAGACCAAAATCGACATATCATTGCCGTGAGCAACTTAAATGGCTACCTTCCATAACAACAATTTTGCCATCAATTTTCATTAACAACAGGCATGTTTATGCGGAATTATTTTAAATCGTTACAATGTCGATAAATATTCGTAACTCGTTTAACTGATACTATAATTCATTTTGTTCTTTAATATCCGATAATTGTATGGATAAATCGATCAAAATTCACTAAAAATTGCATTTACTGCAATACCAATCCAGCGTCAGGCCGGAGATGAAGCCCCTATCTTCCTATCTGACATGAATTGCTTTTCGACTTCATAATGTAGTGTTTTTTCGTTGTTTATATGTGCTTTGCTGACACTCATCATGAATCTAAAATTCAAATCTCAAGTGTTGAGCGTTCGAATTTACAAGATCTATATTATTTTTACTTCACGTATTACAATTTTTTGTAATACCAGCTGTTTTCTGCAAAACCTATAAATTTCGATTTGAACTTTGTCATGCTTGAATAAGAATCCACTGGAGGGATACGAACCTAAATATAACTCAATTGCTTTAGTGGACCTCCTGTACTAAATTTAATTTAAATCCGTCTAGTCTATTCTGATAACATCAAAAGTGACGTTTAGACGCATTATGCGTATATTTTATGGATGTGTGTAAGTAACGCATAAAATATACGAATCACTCACAGTTATTAATGAAATTTTGTTTTTAATTTTACGATTTAAGTACAGTTTAATGACTGAGCACTTTATTAATGGAAAATATTCAATCCGTAAGACAGTTATATTCCTAAACGTTTACACAACAATATGTGTGTTAGTATCCATGCTATATTGTTGCTAAAAGAATGGAAGAGCAGTCACGCTGACTTGTGTGTTGTTTGCAGCATCTTGGAGCTGAGAAAGGAGAAGAGTCGAGACGCAGCGAGATCTCGTCGAGGGAAGGAGAACTTCGAGTTCTACGAATTGGCCAAGATGCTGCCTCTTCCTGCAGCCATCACGTCGCAGCTCGATAAGGCGTCCATCATCAGGCTAACCATCTCGTACCTCAAACTGCGGGACTTCTCCGGCCACGGGGACCCTCCGTGGAGTAGGGACGGTCCCCCGCCCAACAAGAGCGTCAAAGGTAGGAACACACGCCCTGTCACATAATATCGCATGTCGTATGGGATATGGGGCAAGATGTCTTAATAGTTTGAACCTTGTTGGTCACATTCAGACATTTTTCTGTTGTTTAAGAGCATTTTTTTTATAATGGACGGAGCTCGGTAAAATGAGGCCGGGTTTGTTCGCTAACTGTGTCACCGATGTTGGGTAGTAACGCCGTGTGGACTTATAAGTAGATATCGACGTTTCGGAGGAACATAATGTCTCCAACGTAAGTCCATATAGCATTACCATCAAGGAGGCCGACTCTGATGTCTTAAACGCCGTGAAACATTAGATGTGAATAAAACATTTGTAAAAGTAAACTCACACAGCGAAAATAATTTTTGTTCAAAACCGTACAGCCGTCAATTTGTCACCTTTTTAAGAAATGTTTTTGCGCCATTCTATGTATGAAAAACCAGAGTGAAAATAATAAATCGATTAAAAAAATAACTGATTAACCTTTTAAAGCTGACGCAATCAAAATAGCATTTAAGAATTCGGCCCGTACTTAAAAGAGAACATCACACTTAACCCTTACAAAGAGTAACTGGCTAACGTGTTGAAGGAAATTAGCGATGTTTACAGCGAAAATCATACGAAATCTATAAATACAAAACGAAGATTTAGTGATTCTTAAAGAAGATGGTACATATAGTTACTATTGAAGTTTAAAGCGTTAACACACACAACGAACTGGACGACCGAGGCTCAATTCGTGGCACAGATATGGATTCCTCTCTGAGCTATCACATCTAAGATGATTCTTGAGTACATTCAGCCTCCTATCCAGTGGACGCAGGGGACAGTTTGTCCGGAAATGGTGGGTGAAGAAGACAGGGCGTGAAGTTAACAGCTCACCTAAATTTAGCGCAATGTTACCTTACCTCCACTTCCTCGTACGCCTACAGGGAGCTGTGTTTCAACCCAGGGACAACTTCAACGTCTGCACAGACGTTTGCATGAAGGAAACTTGGGCGGTCTTCCTCTCACTTCTCCTCTCCCCCCTGCCGCTGGGCGATCAAGTGAACGAGTTGTAACTAATCGAATTATCGCGGGAATCGTTGGCAGTAACGAGACAGCGTATTCCCACACAGCGTGTGTATTGGGCTCTCACGACTGAACCATGAGAAAGTCAGGGTTATGGAAACACCTTCAAGATGGATAAGAGTTTCTGAACCCGAACAATGCCACACATTTCCCGAATTGAACGTGATATTTATTTCCATATTATTACAATTTCCAGTTGTGATTGTCTTTGTAAGGTGATATTTGAAATTTAATCGTACTTGAAGATGTATCACCCAGCGCCCTACATCCCTTCCGTCACAATATGTTAATACATTAAAGTATGGATTGATAATTTCTCTGAATGTAAAGACAACAACATTTAATAATTTAAATTTGTAATGCAGCCGTAGATGGAAACGTTTTCCAATGTCGTTTTTTTGCTAAATTAACATCTTTATATAAATTGCCGATGTGGAATTAAAAAGCGAATTCTTGTTTTTATGTGATATAAAATTATTTATTTTTTTATGATGAAAATAATTCGATCATATTTCCTATCTTTACACAAAGTCGAAATGATCATAAATCTTAAACATGCAAGTTTTCCTTCGTGCCGTGTTGTATATAATTTAAATAAAATCATGTTTCCATGATTTGTATAAAAGTAAGTTATTTATTTCATCATCTGAAAGTATATTTTTCCGACTTCGTTATAACATTTCGAAATACCGTGCACTCGAAAAAGAAACTTCTGCAAAATAATTTTATAAAATTGTGACCACTAAAGAGTAGACAGTTCAGCCAAGAGAGTGAGTGAACGTAGAGCATTATTCACTGAACCTTGATGAATTTTCGGTACATGTTGAAGCAAGGCTCTCTCATCCTCCTCTGAAGCATAACTAACATTATTGTCAGCTTTCCCCTTCGCCACTAACAAGCTAACTAGGTTACCTACCCCATACAACTATACATGGGTCCCACTGATTCAGTATTTCAAATGCGTTTCGCATGTACAAGAACGATAGAATTATATAGTATATTTTTTAAACTGCAATGTTGAGAGAAGGGTAGACGAATAAAAAACTACGTACCCCTACGCTTCCTATATTCAAAACGACACTGCAGTCCACCCTCACATGAGTTTTCTCTCTATACGAGTGAGAGCAGGCGACCCTGAAAAATACTCACCCCCGCCCCAACAACGGTCGGCAACCCCCTGCTGTTCCGTTCGTTGTAACATTGCAAAATGTAAATCTAATCACAGCCTTCACAGTATGTATGGACCGCTGTGCTAACGTTGATGATGCCAAAGCTAACCCAAATCCAATTTTGTAATGCCGAGAGAGGGGGCCTGTGAGGAGCGGATGATGAAATTAGGTGGTACTTATTGTAAACCAAACTCGGTTAATTCAGACCTTGAAATGGGGGGGGGGGAGTGCAACCCGAGTTTCAGTTAGACCGAAGAATGATTATGAATAGGTTTGTGATTGTAGAGATTCATTTCCCGTGTGCTAGTTGGATACCTCATTTGGTACGTAACGATTTTGTGCCAGCACTGCAAATTTTTTTCGCATTTTTTTGTGTTTACGATAAGCAGTAAAAAATGTTCGCTGGTATTTCTTTACGGAGTCCTGGGTCGAGTGACTTCACGTGAAATTCGTGGTGGACGAAGTCTCTGACCTCCTCAGTTTCTTCTGCTAATAATCATTCCGCTGTTACTCTGTGCTCTGTCATCATCACACGAGGTACACGATAGTCCTGATCACGCAGCATATTATTATAACCTTATTCTTAAAGGCTTTATCTCTGACCTTACACCTTGCTACTTACATTATACAATTTCTGTAAACGTTAGTTCAGTTTCCTGTAGCATCAATTATTGTCATACTTCAATTTTCCGTCGAAATTCTTTTAATTTCAAGGCTCGAATACTTGCAGTTCGCTGCCTTGATTATGGAGGCAGCAAGCGTGTCTGAAACGTCGGAAAACTTTAACCAGACTCCCCGACGCAGTATCCCAGAAGAGAGTCATCTTCATACTAGTCGCCTTGAAAACCTAAATTCTCATCAAAACTCATATTGTATAGCGTGTTACATTTGGCCTAAATACTGCACTGAGGTCATAAAATGTAATACGGGGTCTTAAGCATGTTTGTGGTATTTGTTGAACGTATGAACAAGACGGTCAGATGTGGGGCAGTATTCAAATATTTGTATACGGTCAGAAAAACTTTAATTGGGCGGTATATTTTAAATCTGCTTTGTTTGTTTCCGTTGGTAGTCATTCTAACTTTAATAAGGTCTTCAGGTGTATTTTGAATACTCAGACGAAATACCAGTAGTGCAGGTCAGATAAATGTCTAGTGATTTGCCTCCGTAACACCCTTTTGAAGTATTCTGAAATCAAACATTACATTACGTTCATGTGAGTAGACTATAAAATGAAGATAAATAGTGAAATACTGATGCACGATGACGTTTTAATGACGTCAACTGGGCATAAACAAATAGTTCATAAACACACAAACATTACATTCCATCTACCAACTCTAGGCATGCTCTAAAATATTGGGAACCGACAAATCAACGAGAATAATAATAGTATACATAAAATTAAGAACGAATGGATGATAATTGAATCACGGTAACTACACTAAAGCTCGAATATATTTATTTACACTTGATATTACATTTTAGAGTACAACGAAATTACGTATTCCGGGACATGCTTACCAGCGCTCACGGCCCAATGGACAGCTCATCAATCAGTGAGTGATCAGATCACGGCATAGCGGAGTGCGAACGTGCGTGTCCATCCCCTGTTTATGCTACCACACACGCTATTGTCACTGAATTCAGTACGCAGTTTTCAAGACTTGTCTGTTTTGATCGCTTGGATCGGAGGTGCTGGCTTCTCAGTATGCAGCGACTAGGAACGTTCACACGCAGACACTGATCGACAGTTCATGATGTGTCGACTTATCGAAGCCCGCGGATGTCAGCAACTTCCCTTCGTTTATTTTCTGAACTAGGTCGTATGAAATGACGATGTTGCAATCTGGATTAAACCTTCACAGCAGTATTAGATAAACTTCAAAACAATTTTGTTAGTCTTTTGGATTTTAACGGTATGTGGACTCGTAGGTACATACCAACGTTTCAGAAGAATGCAGTCCCTATCTTCCGCCCTGAAGATGGAAGCAGCAGCCTGCGTTGAAGTAAATTGTTAGTACTAGCGTTACAATACAGAGGATCATCAAAGACATCTTTACAACCGTGAGAATCTCAAATATGGCGCAGTTAAAATTATTTGCTTAAATTTAATAGAAATATTTCGGACGTAGCTATTTAATTACGACTTAAAATCCTGTCGGGCGTGCGAAAGGCGAGTTAAAAATTGGCGTTTCAGATACCGCTCTGACTACATTATCAGGGTGAACAGACAGCATGTCACCGAAACGTCAATTGTACAACTTTGACTCAGCTGATAGCCGAGGAGGATTTTACTGCATCTATTCGCCGAAATAGATTCAAGTCTCTTACAAAACATTTATTGTTTTATTATTAGTTAGGTCCAGTATCGAGATTAGTATTGACTCTGATAAATCTTCCCGTTTAACAACAGATCATTGATACAATTTATAATACTGTTAATTCTCCAGCAATCAAGGAGGACAATGCGCTGGATTTGTAACGGT